GAAAAGGGAAGGGGAGGTTTGGGTTTTTTGACTGTTGGAGCCTCAGGCATCTGTGTACACATTCTCCTTCATTTACAGCTGAGTGTTGCAGCCTTTCTGCTTTTCTTTTCTCCTTTGTTATAAAAGTGTTGAGGTGCCAAATACATTATTTAAGATTAGTATGAAAATTTAATCTGAAGGAGGTTCTGTTTTTGCTATCCTAGTTTGCTATTACTTGGAAGATTTTTTTCTGCTGTTGTCATCTCCCCACTTCCCTTCTTCCCTCCTTTTATTATTATTTTTTTCTTGCTCATCATCTTCCGTCAGCTCCAGTTATTGCAGGTAGGCTTCTATGACAAAAAAGTGCTTTAGGAAATAGTTCTGAAAATGGTCAGAATAATTTTACAGTGGGGCAATCCCTGGGGGATTTCCTGTTTGTCTGTTCCTATCCACACATGAACAGAGCAGTAGAAATCATTGGGAATTCTTCTAGTCCTACACTGTGACTCTTTATTTTATTTATTTATTTATTTGTTTGTTTGTAGATATGTCTGTAGGTAGGCTGATTTTATCTATACCACTAAAACAGACGGCAAATGTCAGCACCAGAAGCTAACCTCCCATTTGGAGCCAGTTAAATACACATTGCGGATACAAATCACCTCATCCTGGCAGTCAAGCAGAAAAATTGGCTACTTAATACTTGCCTCATCTAACTTTACACAGTGTATAATCAAGATCTTAAGGCTCCAGAAATTTAATTGAATGGAAACTCTGTAAAAGTGCTAACTATGTTTTCGAGTTGCAACATGCTGACCATTCAAGAACCTATACAGTTTGCTCTGTAATAACATTAAAAATGCACAGGAAAGTTATATTTGGAGAAGCATATTTTCCCAGAAGTTTCAAGGTCCTCAATTTACAACATGAGCTAGGTTGCCTTTCACCTTTTGATGGCTTTGTCTCAATCAACTGACACAACAAAAGCAAAAATAAGACAACAATTATCTACACGAGGAATTTCACCATTTTAAAATGAAGGGGTGAGGGTCCTTCCATCATCTACCTGACCCACAACCCACTGAAATGCATATCTGATTTGGAAAATTCTCCTTCGGTTTGCTACCCTTTGCAAATCAGTTATAACCCTTCTTCTGCTGTGATTTTGCCTTCACTAGTATACATCTGGGACCTCATTGCTAATGTAATTACAAGAAGTCAGGCCCTGGAACCTAAAGTAAGGTTTTTCACCTTTCTACATAATCATTAAAAGCCTTTCTAAATGTAATAGTTTTATAACTACAATCCAGCCCACTGAACTGAGCAAAGAGTGCTGATAAAATTAGAGCAGAGTATTACAGAACAATCTGACAAGAATTGTTTTGAGAGTTTTAGCTGGTGTACTGTGCCCCAGCAGTATTAATTTCTGATCATCCAGCAACAGTACCTCAATCAGGTATACCTAAGCAAGTCACTTTCATTTAATTTGCTTTCTGAAGGACATGACAGCATCTGTACATTTTGAGATGTAATTGCTGTTATCCTTCAGAGTTTTTGAAACAAACACAATCATCCTCCTGAATTACTGACTTTCCATGACAATTTTTTGAGGTTGCATTGTTCTAAACTAATATCTCTCAGACAGATCCTGAATAATGTAAGAGGATAAAGCCCACATGAAAAAATCAAGAATTCAGAAATGAAATTTAAGCTGGCAAACTTTAACTTAGCTGATCTTTATTCCCTTAATATTCTTCAGACAAACCCCATTTCATTCTGCTTCATAAAGATCATTACCTTAGAGGCCATAATATCTCTGAATTTAATTTTCAGCCTATTTTGAAGATAAAGCATTAGACATTAAAAAAAATCCACATTCTAAGCAGCCGTGATGAACTGGATATACAAACTGTTGCCAAATGTGTGCTCTCTCCTTTTTTTGCTTTATGCTAGTACAGTGAAAAACAATTTCAGATCCAGTCTTCAAGCTAAACCTATGGAGTTAAAACTGCTTTTCTCTGCAGGATTTAGGATGAAATGTCAAATTTCATGGAGGAGATCTCAGTATTGCTCTGCTGTAGAAAATATCCAACCACATTCTTCAGCCACATGTCAAGTGCAAGAGCCGCTCCTCTGGAGTTATTTCTGAGCATTACTTGTTTGCATATTAATGAATTTCACTGTTCTCAGTAATGTGACACAGCATGTTCAAGTTCTTAAGTATTTCTTAATTATTTCTTAATTTCTGATCTTAGAAAAACTTGAGGAGCATTACACTTGCTGTAGACAAGGCTAGAAGGCCAAATCAATGGCCCTTGCACACATCATTATGGCTAGTGCTGCAGCACTATACTTAGTCTAGGTTTCTCTAGTGGGTGTCAGTACATAGCATACATGTATAGTTGAACAAATTTAGGTATTCACAGCAACTATTCATGTTGAGTAGAGGAAGTAAGGTAAACCTTCCCCCCAACTCCTCCCCCCAGTTTCTTCATTAAAGCTGCACCAAAGCTGACAACCAATGGGTTATAGTCCATCGGCTGTTGGTCAGAAAGTGTCCCAACCATGTGGCTGGCTTAGCAGTACTGGCTGGACTCAGCCTAGTGGGAAGCACAGACCTCTCACTTTGGTAATTTTCATAAAGTTTTTTGAACTAAAACCTCCTCAGAATACTTGAATCCCATCTTCCACTACTGTCTGGTCTGCCACACCCAGAATGTCCTCAGAAGGGTAGTTATGAGGATACGGTTGCTAAAGAGAGCGCCAAAGTAACTCCATAAACACATAGACATTGGCACCTCCAATTCCTATGCAAGGAATTGTTGATTTTACTTGCTCTTACTGTTCATCTGTGAGATAAGACTCTGCATAGCCATCAGTGGAATCAGAGAATCACACACGGCTGGAAAAGACCTCCAAGATCATCAGTCCAGTCATCAAACCATCACCACTGGGTCCACTAACCATGTCCCTCGGTGCCACATCTGCCCTTTTCTTGAAAACCTCCAGGGACAGTGACTCTACCATTTCCCTGGGCAGTCCGTTCCAATGCATTACTGCTCTTTTTGAGAGGAATTTTTTTCCTGATTTCCAACCTGAACTTCTCCTGGCACAACTTGATGCCATTCCCTCTCATCCTATCACTGTTACCTGGGTGAAAAAGCCAACCCTCACCTCACAACAGCTCCCTTCAGGTAGTTGTAGAGAGCGATAGTGTTTCCTCTTGAGCCTTCTCTTCTCCAGACTAAACAATCTCAGTTCCCTCAATAACTCCTCATAAGACTTGTGCCACAGAACCTTCATCAGCTTCACTGCACTTTTTTGGACACGCTCCAGGGCCTAGAAACTGCTCCTCCTGGTCTGTATCTGGAGGTTATAGGTGAGACTGGAAGTACTCACAATCAGAAGAGATTTAAAGTGGGACCAGCGGATGTATGAGAGCTAAGATTCCAAGTTCAGATTTCAAATTCTTGAGATATATTCATTAAGATCATCCTCTTTTTCTTCTTATTTGAAGCCTAATTTCTGTAAGCTATTTTCTATTCTGTGAGCTAATTTCTGTTCTGTCTGGAAAATGGAATGAGGTAAAAGTATTTAGTAGGCAGTTATAGCAACATACAGAATTTGTAATTAGTATGCATATACTAAAGCTTCACCAAAACAGTAAAATGTAACAGAAGCACCTCTGGAACCATTCCTGTCTCTGTGTTTCAATAATTTGCATATTAAGGGGTCCCAAAGCAGTAACTAGCATGACAGACTGGGCATTAAGTGGTGCCTAAGAAGCCTTTAAGACAATTTACAAGAGAAACTCTAGAAACATTATACTCTATTGTAGGAAAAAGCTCAGGAAGCAAGGACACATTTACAATGGACTTTTAAGTCATCTATCTAAACCATTACAAAATCAGATTTGATGCAATTCAGTTGCAACTTGGGTTAATGCAAGTTTAACTGGCCACAATAAGCAAACATAGTTTATTGTAAGCCAATTCCCTTAATTGCTTCAAAAAGGATTTTTTAATTATTAAGCTAATGCAGCTTAATTTCTGTAGCAAATGGCTGAAGCCAGCAGTGTGAATAAGACTTTTGAAGTGTGGTCTCAAAATCTAGGGAATAAAGTGAAGAGAGACTTTGCTCAATATTACTAGCTTGCTCCTAAGTGCAGTTTCACTACTCAACAAAAGAGGCGCTGCTCACTTTTCAGATCTCCCTGGCATTTATACAGAACCACACTTGCTGGCATAGTCAAAGCCATTCTTGCAGGACATGAATACTGCATGAAACATATTGTGTGAGAACACCCAAGTGTAAGAAATTCAGACCATGGTTTTATAGCTCTTCTATTTCTGTTCTATTTCTGTACAGGAGTTCTAAGATGGGAAGAGTCCAGTATCAGTTTGAGTGCCATAGCTGTTGACATGGTCTATTAGAAAACATTCACGTTGGCAGAGTGAGCCAAGGACTGGTATTAATTCTGGCATTCTGATCTCTGGAGTCTATACCAAGCCTCTTAACAGAAGTATTTGATCCTAATCAGGACAAACTTTAGGACTGTGGATTGAAGAGGAACTGCATTCCATCCATCCATCTCTTGCACACATACACTAGTGGAAGCCCTTCTTTTAGGGACCGTCAGGATCACCTGCTGCTAAAATGAGCAGTTAATTTTGCTGCTCTCATAAGTTATGAGGTGTGACTGCTGGGAAAATGCTCTTTGTAAAGATCTATGGAAAAAAAAAAAAAAACAAGATAGTTTTCTATGGGTTTTGTGGTATGGGCTATGTGTGTATGTATGAACAAAAGATGTTTACTCTTCAGAAAGAAACAAGCTAGGACCATCATTAATTATGGTTTTCTGACTTAGCTTTTGGCCTGTTCTAAGCTGCTTGCCTATAAAGATTAACTACTGTGAAGTAGAATTTATTTTGTATGGCCAGAAGTTCATTTGATTTCCCCCTGCAAAGGGAGTATGCACCTCTTTTTACTAAATCATTAGAGATTTGTACACAGTGCCTTACCTGCAATGGGTTTGGTGAAGTAAGAGGAGATGGAAGGCCATGCCCTGGTGACTGGCTTGGTTTCTGAGGGGAACTGGAGGACTGTGGGACTGAAGGCTGCTGACTCTGGCTTTGGGGCTGTGTTTGGTTCTGCTGTGGAGGTGCTGATGGCTGTGGCTGTGGCTGCTGGGTCTGCTGGGGTGGCTGTGGAGTCTGTGACTGCTGAGTTTGCTGCTGCTGCTGCTGGCTTTGCTGCTGCTGCTGCTGCTGTCCTTGCTGTTGCTGCTGCTGCTGTTGATGCTGGAGCTGCTGAAGATGCTGAAGCTGTTGAAGCTGGGAGTTCAGGGATGAGGTAGCTATGAATAGAAGAGAGAGGAAAGAGTTTTGTAGGTTTCAGCATTACCTGTCATGTTAAAGATATCCTTAAGTTATTAAGTTCTGATTCTAATGTATTGTGGGGCATGGTGCCCAGTAAGGTCAGCTGGTGTCAGACTTCAGGTTGTGGCAACAAATTAATTAACATGTTCCCAGCAATGAATGCTGTGGTTCCATGCTAAGAGATGGGCTTCTGTGAGGACAATGAAAGCTAATCTGCAGTGGGGCTACAGCTCTGTATACTGCACAGGCCTCCAAGCTGACCGGCAGTCTTGGCTCAGACAAGGTTACAACTGAAGCCAATGGGAACTTTCCCTGCCAAAGAAGAGTCTGAGGATAACACTGCACATATTGTGGCAAGGGCTCATAACACAAACTGGTGCCGTTACATAGAGCCGGATAAAGCCATAGTTGTAAAATAAAGAATGCTCTGAAAAGAGCTTTGTAACATCTATATACTGCAGGTGTCAAAAAATAGAATGTTCAACAGTGAATTTTTTGGAACAATACATAGGTAGAAAAAATACTCAATAAAATGCATGCCTCTGAAATTACAGCTGCTCCTTATAATTCACAGCTAAAAGCCATAAATTTCTCCTGGTGAAACAATGTAGGCATTTTGAAAACTTGCATTGCTTGCTTACTTCTGGTAGCAAAAGTCTGTCATGCTGTGCTAGCATGTGCTCCAAAGTGGTCTTCCAGTACCCAAAGGAGGCCTACAGGAAAGCTGGGGAGGGACTTTTTGTAAGGGCAGGTGGCGACAGGACAAGGGGAAATGGATTTAAACTGGAAGAGGTAGATTTTGACTAGATATTAGGAAGAAGTTCTATGAGAAAATGGAACAGTTTTCCAAGCAAGGTTGTGCATGCCCCTTCCCTAGAAGCATTCAAGGCCAGGCTGGATGGAGCTCTGAGCAACCCAATCTAGAGGGAGGCGTTCCTGCCTACAGCAGGGGGTTGGATGTAGATCATCTCAAAGGTCCCTTCCAACCCAAACCATTCTATGATTCTATGAAATGTGAGCCTTGGAAACCAGTAGCTCTCATCAGTCTTTCGGCACAAAGGTTCAAACTTTATCTCCCTAATTGACTGAGGCATTGATTAAACTCAAGTAGTTTGCCACAGGGACATCACTAAAGAAAAGCACATTTAAAGCAGCAGCCAGAATACCACAGGAACCTGGTGCTTTCTCAGATTCCTCCCTGAATAAGTCACCTGGGGCTCTGTCATTACACAGCTTTGGGGTTGTGACAGATACCTATAGGATTCCAAGTTGAACAGCTTATAAGGTCAGCACACTACTTTACCCTCTGTACTGCATTCCCAACACCATTCTGTATGCTAAGTTCCATCATCAGAAGCCAAAGTAAACTGGGTGTGAATCAGATCCGTTGTTTCTAAAATGAGATTCAGATGTCATGGACAAAAACACTGTTTGGAAACTGGCAGATAAAGCCAAGTTATTCCTACTTCTTTTAGTGTTGAAATACTTGTTTCAGCTTTCCAGATGTTTATACCCTGGGGATGAACCTAAAGTCTTGGTATGGCTTATGAAATCAATGAACCATAAATTGGCATAAGAAAAGGGGTGTGTGTGTGTGTGTGTGTGAAGAAGTAACAATAAAAAAAAAGGGAAAGGAAAAGGAAAATGAGAAAATTTAGGCAGAGTGGGTAAGCCAGAAAAGTCTGTATGGAGGCAGAGTAAAAGATATGGCAGGAAGAGCTGTTGGTCACCCCTACCTACATTCACAGCTGATCTAAATTTAGTTTCATCAAAGGTAAGATTCATACTACAAATAAGTCTTTGCAAAAATTACTGTTGTGGATGTGACTACAACAAATGACCTAATAAAGTGACGGAGGAGGAGGGGTAAGACCAATATATTCCAATCATTAAAGTTACTCATAGCAATTTGGCTTTTCAACATAAAACAGAGTGACCATTAACATATGAGATAGCTCATGCGAAAGAAATCGACCTGCAGAAAGCATACACTCCATTAATTCCTTCAGGAGAATCCAGAACCAAAAGCCCTAAAGTCAAAGGGGTAGAAAGTAGAAGTATAATCTAAGGAATATGAGAACAAAGAAAGGAGGTGTGCGTACCAGAAAGCAACTGCACACACAAATATTAACCACACTGTGAAGCACCTAGGATGGCAAAGAATACTGTTCACATATTCCATCTTTCCATCTGTGTATATACAGAGGGAGAAGAACTTCTCCAATTCTCATAAGAAAAAAGTCTGATTAGAACCAGCTCTTTAGCTTGTGCAGGCTATTTCCTCACCTGTGGTAGCTCATCTGTCTGGACAAATCATTGATACCAAGAACAAAGACTTTAAATACAAATGTTCTTACTGCTTCTATAGAGAAATGAATGCAATGAGTGGTGTAATTTGTAATGTATGTGGCTTGCAGAGAGGAATGGAGAGTCATTTTATATCAAATGTGCACAACTGGGAAGAACAAGATTTCTTTTTAGCAAATTAAGATACAGTGATTTTTTAATTTTATTTTATTTTATCTTTTTTGTGCAGCAATAGTCCTCAAACACTTCTCTACAGTATGGCACTCTTATAGGCCTTGGCTTGGAATGGATTTGTAAGAATGCCCAACATTGCACACAGTGCATTGAGGGGACAGGAGAAAGCATTCAAGGTGCGGGGGAGGACATCTACAGAAATATTTTTGGAATATAGAACATATATTCCTTCTCAAGAATGCCTTTCACCTAAAATTTGAAAAATACGGCAGTTGAAGTAATGCTAAAAGTATCAATCTAACATAACATGAAGTAAGAGAAGATGGAGGGATCATTGTATCTTGATAACATAAAACTGCAAAAACAGGACTGTGTTAAATTTTTATCAGGGGTCTTGTGACTGAACTTAGAGTATATAACAAATATCTCTTGATACAGTGATAACAGGAAAAGCATCACTGCCTGGATTTTGTAAAATGGTGACATGCGAGGAGCCCAAAGTATAAAGGAAATGAAGTTTCTTGAAAAATTAAACCAATGAAGAAGTGGTTAAAATGAAGTGTAAGTCTATTCTTTTATATATTTTCATATGCTTCACAGGAATCAGGAAAGTAATAATAAATAATAGCATTGATGTTTCCCATTGAGCATACAATTTTTTTTCAGAGCTCATTTTAATATTTCTAAGCAGGGCTATTAGTTGCCTTGCAAGTGAAAAGTTGTTGAGTCTAAACCACAGACAGGAACATAATGGTCTGTATGCTTACCAGAGGACCCACACTTTGTGAAATCCAGTTTTACTGAGTGTATGAATTAAACTGCTTACATATATAATTGCTTATACATATTGCTGTGACACGTTAGGATTTACTTGACAGAATGGTTATGCTGACAATAGGCTTTGGTTTCATTAACAAGTCGTTCTTTGGTCAGCTGTTGAACTATTTTCTTAAAAATTAAATCCTTATTGAATTGCCATTCTTGACAAGGTCACTGCCCTGCTTAATGTACATTTTGATCTTCATGTTCTTTCTTCTGTCAACCCATATAACAAGGGACATAATCCAGATTGGAAAAAAGGATAAAAAACTACTTCAACACCCCTCTTCTATCCAAACCTTTACATGTTCAGTTCCTACTGAACTGCAAATGTAACTGGTGCCAAGCAGCCATTGCCAATATAATTCTGTGCATTAAAATGTGAGCAGATGCAATCACTCACACACATCCAATAAATGAAGAGGGTATGAAGCTGACTTTGAAAGTTTTAAATTCTGTGGGCATGTCCAGAACTCACAGATGATGACTCAACGTGGAGATTTACTTCATTCCTTATCTAGAGGTAGAAAATCTTTGGATTCAGTGCTGCTGAATACTTTAATGTTGGCCACTGAAGGAATATCAGTGTCCCTACCGCGCACTTTTTGTGCTGAAAGTGCACTTGTTCTTGCTGGTGTGGAAGGTGGTCCCTTGCAGGAAATTGTGTTGATGGAGAAAAGTTTCTTCATGGAGAAATTTTCAAGTTCATTTCCAGCAACTGCATAAAATTATTCACATAAATTGTTTGATTTTCATAGGATTCCTTTAGAAAACCTCTTTGGAGACATGCATTGAAGTGGCTTAGTGAGGCGTGATTGTTTAACATGCTGTAGCTAAACAAACAGACAGGGAGAACTGTTCGATCAGACAAAGCTTTCCCAAAGCCACGCAGTTAGTGCACTGTAAGAGGGAATTTAGGGCTCTGGATCCTGCCTACTCTCTAGTGTTCGTACTGCCTGATTGCACTGCCTCTCACAATGTATATACCATCCACTGCAGAGGTTGTGTCACATTATTGTTTGTAATCAAATCCAATCCAGCTCCCAGAGCTTGCTTGCATACCTCATCCATTATAAATCGTATACCTGTCTAGCATTTGTCACTTCTGCAGAGCTTAGAGACTGATGGAATTTCAGGTGGTACAACGGTGCTGTGTCTGCATGTATAAAAGATAACAGGCACTGCCTACCTACCACTCAGGAATCTCTTTATGATTTACTGGCTAACAGCTGGGTAAAACTTTGACATCTTTAAGTGACAAGTGCACACTTTCTTTCAGAATTGCATTCAAAATTAAAAAAAAAAAAAAAAAAGGATGAAAAACACACACACAAAAAAAAAAACCAAACAAAAACTATTTTCTATGGTTAAAAAGTAACATAAAACGTATTACTTTAAACACGAGATAATTAACCAAAAGTGCATACAAGATTCAAAAAAAAAAAAAAAAGAAAGGGAAAATCCACAAAAGCTGTGTGATAGTAAAATTTTCCTTAACAAATGTACATGTTGCATCTATACCAAATATCTGATAAGCTGCTAAGAACTTCTTATGAGGAAACAATGCCATTAGGAGTTTTCAAACTTAAATTTTCACTGTAATTTCTTGGTTTTAATCTCTGCAGTGCCACAGCAGACTTCCCAAAGGGATCATCCTACATTTTATGATACTACTTTA